CAGGATGAAAGCGTAATTAAGGAGCACTATTGGAGTGACTTTGATGGTTATTGGACTCAGGATTCATTCATTTGGATTCCCGCTGTATGAAGAAATTAAAGGACAGCGCGGAAGTGGAAACAATTCACAAAGGGAATAAACTGTTTAAAACACATGCTCAAAGTAAGCCGGATTTTCCAGATGTGTTTATGTGGATTCAAAAGTCGTAAATAATCTACAAAATGGAGGAGGCCGATCTGATCGGAGCAACTGTGACAAATAATCCAACTGAAACCGGCATGGACGATGACTGTTTTAAAATGCGCTTATCCAGAAAGGCCTGGTTTTGGACACTTTACGGGCAGAAGAAACATTTCTATTAAAGAAAGAATTATACATTTCTGTCTTTATGCCTATAATAGCTACTAACTTGAATTTGTATTCAAATTAATTAATCAATTATTTTTTATATTTTATTGTAATGTAGAGACAAGGGTTTTAGTGACAATCATGTATTGTGTTACAATTATATGTAAAAAAATAAAAAATAAAGTCTAAATATGATATTTGGCCTCAAATCATCTGAGGCCTGGCGCCCCACCTGCGATCTTTGGGGCCCCCCCAACGGGGGCGCGCCCCCCAGGTTGGGAACCCCTGCTTTAGAGGATCTGGCTGCACTTTCACTATCCGACGTGTATGATGCGCCAGCGGACGTCATAAATGTGCGTCCGCTGCTGTGGGGAAACTATGGAAACTACAGTTTTCTATACAGCGGACTACAACACGGATGTACAATAAGAACGAGGGACTACTGTAAACTCATCTAGAGACTCTGCACCGTGCTCTGATGCTGTTGTTTTCTGCTTTATTAACGTGGACAACAGAAACATATTCTTCATGACCAAAGTTGGAATTGAAATAAAAAAGGAAAGTGAAACTTATGCTCGTCACCCTCTCCCTCCGGTCCACATTAATACAAATGATCCCAATACGTATGATTGTATGAAAATATCTTAAAATCAATACAAATGTATTTATTATAAACGTTAGTCCTTAACATCTATCACTGTGTATATCACTATGCAATCAAAAGTGAAACTTAACCTCGCTCCATTGCGGAGATATTCCTACGAGAGTGCGGAAAACTTAAATGTATTTATTTCAAATAAGAAATGTTACCAATATACTCATGGACCACTAGGGGGCGCTCGCGGACCACACTTTGAGAAGCACTGATCTAGAGCAGTGGTTCCCAACCTGGGGGGCGCACCCCCCCTTGGTCACTCCAATAGTGCTCCTTAATTACGCTTTCATCCTCTAACAACATACTTCACATTCATCCAGTTTGTGACATGGAAATGGACTATTCGACCGCAACCAAGGACTTTAGTTGGAGTTCTCCTGCCAATTTGGGGCTTAGAATCAGGTTTTTAAGCTATTTTCTTCTCCCTCGTATGTTTTCCTAATCATTCCAACATGAATGAATCATTGTTGTGCTATATGTATTGTTGTAAAGTACTTTGCTGGGTTGATAAGGGCAATACAACTAAACCTAATTATTGGTATTTTCATGATGTGGATCAGATGGTTATTTCTATGTCGTCTCCCAGAGTTTATCCAGCCGGTGAAGGATCGTCCCCGGACAGACTGTGCTGCTGCCAGGCGGATGGTGACCAGAGCGCTGGGGCTGCAGTCACGGGGCAGAGCGAAGCGATATTGAAGGGAATCACAAACGCTGTGGGCTAATACAGGTGAAACACATTATCACAACTGACACATTACAGTTGAGGCAGTTTAAGTCTACAAAGAAAGAATTTTAGAGTCTCTTGAGGACTTTTTCATCTTTGACTAACTATTTGATGTCATTGAGAACATGAAACATTACACACATCAAACCATCAGCAGCAGCACTGTAATGTCACATTACTGGAGTCTCTTTGCTTTCAACAATATTGTTTATTTCATAAATGTAAGGCTTTGCCACATTCATCCTTGCATACAAAACATAATCAGTCAGACAGCAAGCAACAAGTACTCTTTAAAAAATGAAGGATCCTTGCATTTGTTACATTAAATTCACAAATTAAAGAGGAGGATTTTTCACAAACATCTTTGGCTTTGACAGCACATCCGCAATGTTATCATAGTCCCTGACGGAGAAATGAGTACGTAAACTGAGACAGAAGCTGGGGGGGATGCACAGATGATGAAGATGAAAATGCGTTTACTAAAAACAACCAAGAAAAACTATAATAAATAAAACATTTTTAAGAGCAAACTCAAGTATGTGGAATACAAAATCCTGGAAGGAAAAAAGAACATTCCCACTTAATTCAGACAATTTATCACTAAATATATTGACTGGTCGTCAAAAACACTGAAGGGAACCAATTTAAGAAATGTATAGACTAGTATACTGTGTTCAGCACTAGAAATATAAAAATAAATCCAACTTCAGGGAGAACTATATTACAGTTTTGGTTACAGGTAGCCACTCTTTGTGTCGTTGTAATGACTGTGCCATGCTGCTCTAAAGTAATCATACCCATTATGTATTTGCTCTCAGATTTATGTTAAAAAAACGTTTTACTATCCAATACTGTGCAAACAAACAGGATTCAACCAAAACTTATTTAAATTACACTGTTTTGGGAAAAGCAAACAGTGCATTATTTCGTCGTAGCACCAGGTTTGACTGTTTTCATTCCTCCCCCTCAAACACAGCGAGAGTCTCCTCTAATGGATTTGAGTTAAAGCTCTATTTGGCTTAGGGGACAACTGTTGGCACAGTTAATTAAATAAATTATTTGGCTTCAACCCACACTGACATCTCTGCCAGTGAGCACCAGGTCGACATCTTTATTTCAATAAGGGCACCAAGACACCATATGGACACTTTTGTAAAGCTAAATTTGGTTTACAGATTTGGTAAGCAAGCAGTTCATTTTCTCACTGAATCATTGTCCGTTGTACCATCGGAGCCCGGAGCCCGACAACAATCCAGCACGGCTCCAAGGAGGCAAAAAGAGTACAGCTCCCTCTAGTGGTTGTCAAATATCAATATATGCTTCCCTGATGTCCGTCTGTGTTCAAGTTTGGTCTACCTTCGGGAAAGCTGGTTGTCGTGCAATCCGGGGAACATTTCCTCTGTTTCTGAACTGCGTGAGCCACCTGTGAATAAGACAGAGAGGACGATGAGACAAGAGCAGTACTGTGTCTTTAGGAACTGCACCATCCAAACAAACCATTCTGACAATAACTTCCTCCCTGATATGATGAGGGACATCTATGACACTATAAAACATTGGATTTGCAATTTATTGGAAAAGTGCACAAGGGATGTCAAGACAGCATGAATGTAGTCAGGGCCGGCTCTAGACAATTTGCTGCCCCAGGCGAGATTTTAGCTGTTGCCCCAGCCAGAGAATCGTACAGTAGAAAATATAAAGATCAATGGAGTATCAAAGGAGTACACAATAGAATGGGGGATGGACGTCACATCCTCTAGGGGGGTATGCCCCCCCGGGAAGATTTGTTTGAACATTTTAAAGTAAAATGCTTCAATCTGGTGCACTTTGAGCAGAATTACTACTAGATCTAGGGGGTACAACTCTAAACACCCATATGAAAAAGATCGGTTTACATTTTATTAATCAAATAAGTATGTGAACATAACCAGTAACCTACCATAGCCAATAAAAAAAAAAGTTGTTCTTTCTTATCTTATTTGACATTTATTTATTCATTCATGCATATTTTTTCATCTCCAGTTTTAAAGGATATTTTTGGTTACTGTCCTATAGAATACATTGGAATGATTTCAAACCTGTTTATCCCAATAATTATAAAGGAGTGCCTTGGAAATATGTGTTTACATAAATTGTGATCAAAACGTTTCAGACCCACTGAGATAACTTAGACTAAAGTTAACTATCTAAAAAGAGTCCTTTACCTCACTGAGCTGTAGTTATCAGCCTCTCAGTCTGACTGGAGAGGACTCTCCCTCCACATTATTGTAGAAACATCTTCTTCTTATATCCGTTAGCGCAGCTAGCACCAGATGCTAATAACAACAGCACCAGTACCGGTGCACCCTCCCTTTCTCCCACGCTCACTCCAACATAAGCCAACATCCCCCATTTTCATCACTTACGGCGCCCATCGTACAGGGCAAATGAAAAGTGTAACCGGGGTGAAAAGGGTGTTACATTTAATTTACTTAATTATGAATATTGTTACATCAAGGCCGAAAATGAGGATGAGCACCAACGGTCAAAAAGGTTTTTTCTACCAGCGCAGCGCCTCCCCAGATCTGGCGCCCTAGGTGAACATCTATATGCTAAGGGCCGGCCCTGAATGTAGTAGTCAAAACCAATACCAGTGATATTCCACGACTCTTGATACCACGGTAAAAAATGATACACAAACAATAAATCCCATGTACTTTAACAAACACTCCTTTATTACCAGCTTGCATCCTGTGTTTGGGACATAATTCCCTCTTTATATTTAATATAATCTATTTATATTGTGTTAAATGTTGTTTGTCTAAAACTGTATTTTTAAGTTTCGTGGAAACAGATTAAAAATGTTTTCAAGACATCATGATAACATTTCAATTAATCTACACTGTATATTAATTTTTACAGAATGGAGCATGAACGCACCATGGTGCAACTCTGCAAAACCTTTGCTCACCGACTGCTGACAGCTAACCTTGTCAATTTCTCAATGTAACAATCTAAGGGATCAAATGTGATGCGTCAATAGTTAGTGACGTACCAAACACATTTTTTATAGTCCAATGGAAGCCATTAGTCTCGAGCCCTTATGGTACTACAGTGCTGTAGACATGGGAGTACCTTCACTTTTACAGGATTTTGGAAAAGTATCAGGATTCCTGACACACCTAATGTCAGGGAAACCTTTTGTTATATTTTGCAACACGTTGTGAAACACCCTTTTTAAATAATTGAACAGTCTATCCTATTATCTACAGGTCCAACAGAGGTCGGCCTCCACTCATCGGGCCCGACTGATGTTGATACGACCTTCCAGAAGTGTTTGCCTGCTTCACTGATCAGAGAAGCACGTTTGCATGGTGCAGAGAGGGGGCGCCACACATCTGCAACATCCATCCTGCTGAAGTGTTCATGAGCAAATGCTGAAGCCTCACAGTCCCTATTCTGTAGCTGAACCTGAACCCTTTGGACATAAGTATTCAGATTCCTGTTGTGACATGAGTGGATGATCAATGATGACAGGGAATTCATATGGAAAAGCCCCTGGAGAAAACTGCAGCTCTCGGCTTGTTTTGATTTGATTGCGTGTGTTCTTGGAACTAAGCTTTTGGAGTGGTTTTTTTTATGGTTATGCAGGGTTGGTTGTATAATTCTTTCCAAGTAGTCATTATTTTCTAACCTAATGTTGAGTTCCTCGACAGATTAATACTCAGGATTTGGTTAAAGAAATGTAAATTGTGAGCTGTACAACACAGCCAGATGTTTATATTGACTGCACATTTCCACCTGACAGATGTAATGTAGATCTGTTAAAGAAAATAACAGCCTCGCTCAATGGCCACTGTTCCAGTTGAGAGATGCAGCCATTAAGAAAAACATGTAGCAGCAATGTTATGCTGAACTATATACATATTTACCAATGTTTACGTTAATTTAAAACACGCATTTTAATTTGTTTCTACAAGCTCCATCGAGATGTTCAGTTGTTTTTATTTGTTCTTATAAATAACATGAAACTACCTTTCAGGATTATTGCTCAGAGGCCAAGTGTTCAAGTTCTGTCTCACTCCACTTTATAGAAAAGGGAAGATTTTTGATCAACTAAAGTTGAGCTTTGGAAACTCGGACTGTACGGTCCTTTGAACCTGTTACTGTCGTTTTGAATGTTGCCTCGGTAAATGGCATTAACATGCCATAAAACCAATTGTATAAGTTTGTATTTAGTAAAAGAAAGATGTTCAGTATTTTATTTTGTTGTCGTACTGAAATAAATGTTCACAACATTTATCTTTTGACTGCCTGATGTTGAAAGTACAGGACTTGTTCTGTGGTACTCCTTTATACACTGTCAGTTCCCATTTCAGGGAGGAGAAGACTTAAGTTAATACTGCATAATCTGATAAACTAACTATGGTTTTAAACTGAATTCATTGTAGCGTCATTGACGTAAAAATCAAATAAACATACAGTCTAGGAGAGAGAACTCTAAGAGTTTTAGGACCATAACACTTTTGTTGTGTTGCCTCTACTTCCTGTTATTGTATGAAACTGTTCAATCTTAATTATCTTATCTCAAGTGTTTATCAGGTGGATAGTAAAAAAAACTATTTTAGGGGACAAGAACATGAAGTCAGTATACCAAATATTAGGTTCAAAACTATAAGTAAGCTCTGCAAAGCGAATTATCTTGACCTTTTAATCAAATATTGCTTTCGTGAAGAAAAAGTATTCTATAATTATGCCTGAATATACCAATGAGCTTGATGTTTTCCATTGTAGTAAACATCATTGAAACCCTTATATGAGGAGGTGATCGTGATGACGTAATGCTCACCTATAATACAGTTGTATGTCCATATCCTCTGTCCATCGTACCGGGAGCGGCACTTCATAATGTTGTTGGTGTAATCTGATTCTGCAACCTCAAAGTTTGGGTTTATCACAATCTGGGAGAGAAGAAAAACGTCATTAAACGTCTGAAAGAAACATTCCCTTACACTTTACATAACACATGTGTTAAGCTCTACTAAGGACTGAATAATACAAACTAAGTTATTGACAGTTAAGAAGTTGGAAGGGTATATCAAAAAAAGATGTCAACGGATACAGAAAAAATAGCTTTTAGGGAAATGCACTTTCTGCAGCCAAAGAATGTTCTGTGTCCTTCCACAACCCCTGCTGAGCTGTTAAAGTTTGAGTGTCCTCGGGCAGAGTGCCAGACAAGAGCAGACGAGACGTGGAACGTTCCTGTTTGGTCTCCAAGACGACGCTGAGACATCCTCCCAGCACCACATGTGCTGTATCAACTACGGCTAGACTGACAGACCAAATGTTTTACCTGGAAGATGTAGTCTCCGGGCTTCAGGTCGGTGATGTCAATCCACTGACAGTCGATGTCGTGCCTGTAGGTATCCCAGCAGCCCACTGTGATGCCTTGGGCCCCGAAGTTTGCACATTCGTACCTCTTCTGGATACCTGTCAGTGTTCAGAGCAATTAGTATTATGATTTCTATCTTTACATTGTAGATTATTTTTCTTCTCTGTGTTCTCTTCTTATGGAAATCCTGTTAAACCTGAACTGAGTAGCATGAAGCTACACTCAGCCTCAGTGTGATATAAAAAGGAAAAGGGAAGATGGGATATTTACCCTCGTCACAGTGCGTGTCCTCCAGACAGAAGCTGGCTTTGTGTCCTTCTGCCACTTTAGTGCCGTTGAGAGTCAGCAAATCATAGTGGGTGAAAACCTCCATACTGTGGTAATGTCTGGATTGGACAAGTAAAAACACACAATGTTGAATCATCCTATACTTTTATATATTTAGAAGCCCTACAATAACATACATGCTCTCATCCATGGCCCACTCCAAACAGCACTGACAGCAGGAGGAAAGGGAAAAGGCTCATTGTCAGTGGGATATAGGCATTTCCATGACAGTAAGAATATTATAAATAATTATTATTCAAATGTTTCCTTTGATTTCATTCAGCTTCATATATTGTATTCAATACATTGTTTTTCCCTACAACTGATTCATGACACTTTGACATCAATATAGAAGCACTAAAAGGTAAGAGAGAGGAAAACATCTGACAAACTTCAAAAAGACATCTGATCTAAATTGTTAAAATTGTAAAACATTTCCTCTTCTAATGAAAAATAATGAACAAAAAAAGATTTTGCTGGGATTTCTAATTTCCTTTAAGAAAACTTACATCTGTGTCTCTTCCTTGTTGGCAGATCATTTAAAACATATTTTGTGTAATACTTATTTCAGCCACATGAAGCTGAAGTGCACCTCTACCCCAGACTCCAAATGTGCTTCCTTCAGGGTGGATTTCTCCATGAACTTAACCAAAGGTCACTTTTTAAATAACAGGTTTTCATTTCACTCTTAGGGGTCCGTACTTTCATCTAGCATTAACATTAACAGTATCATCCCAGTGTAATCACACATCAGGCCCCAGAGGGCTCTTTGAGGTCTCACCTGTGACACTCGTGCCAGACCCAGGAGTGGTGGGCCGCCCGCGGTCTGAAGTCTGCCTGGCCGTTGTTGTGGATCTGGGAGGAGAAGCGGAGCAGGCGGCGGTACGAGGAGGGCTCTGCTGTGTCAGCGCTGCTGGACAGACAGTGCTCCTCGTGGGCACACTGCAGCATGTACATGGGTCTGTCCTCCAGGTAGGTGGTCTGCTCCACAGCCTGGGCACTGAGCACCAGGTCCGGGGCCACTGGGGGGGAGCAACAAGGGATGTCTTGATTAGGACCATCATTTATGAGTTTCCCTATTAGCTGTAAAGCATCAAGTAAAATTACTCAAATAAATATTCTTTACTACCAGAGTTTTATAAGCTTGTTATCCAACAGCATAACGTATTAGCTTTCCAGTTCCCAGTCCTACTTCATAGCAGACATTTTGACTAGTCATGGCAGGAACAATTCAGAGTTTATTTTTGACAATAACAACGGCTCTGTTCCTTCAAAAGCCCCTGTGAGTAATGAGAACGAGCCAGCATGCAGAGTGCCAGAAATCTGAAGCAAAAGCAGCCACATGCAAGCAGCATTTGTTCTATCACTTACAGATGTTCCTCTCCCATTGTGACAACAACTTGTGGTTTCACAAATCTTTGTTGCACAATGACATTCATTTGAATTGTACTTGAGCGTTGAACACTTCAAAAAGATCTTAATGTCTGTAGTATCTTTAATCTACAGTTTCTTACTCTGAGTACAGGAGACCCCCGCAGAGAAGCGTCCACCTCCTTTGGGACAGAGGACGTGTTTCCCGTGATGCAGACACTGATCCAGAGTCAGCTCAGTCCCTGAACATCTCACTCCACTCATCACGACGGCATCAGCTGAGACGTCTCCTTGCCAGTACCATGTTTCCTGATCAAAGAGAGGCACAGGAATACAAGGATTTATAAAAACCATGGTATGGTAAGTACAAAATAAAATAATAATAATAAAATTCATATTATAGTTAAAAAGTCATAACAAGTTATGGTATATTTTAAAATGCAATTAATGTCATTATTATAAGCCATAGTATAGTGCATCCATAAAAATGATTTTTATGGTAAAAAAATCTTAATAGATAAAAAAACGTTTTTTAAATAGTTTAGCAGGTCAAAGAGATTCATAAAATAATCCATTAAAAAAAGTACAAGATGTTAACATTCATTATGAATAAAAGTCACAGTAAAGCATGTCATATAAAAATGACACATTATATGATGACATTTTTGAAAATAAAAGTCAAAGTATCGTATGTAATAAATAAAAAGCTATTAAAATGTCATAGTATTGTGCTTCATTTAAAGAACTCATTGCATAGTGTGTATAACAAATATATTTACAAAATACATCGTATAGTATGTCAATAAAAATGTAATAAAAACCATGAAAAAAGTTCTGTACTGTATGTCATGCAGGCCCAAGCCTCAAAGGGCAAGGCAGAAACCAAGGGTCAGGAGGTTTACGGGGGCACCAAACAATACAGACCTCCCATACATAAAGTATCACCTCCTAAAGTCTTTTTAATTTTAATTGTAAGATATTGAATATCAAAAACTGAATTTAAGACGTCTACTGACTTTTTAAAGGATTTAGGGGAACCCTTCTATCTACAATGTGCATACCTAAGGGTCTATCACACACCCATCTAAGTGTGGGGGGCTATGATCTCACACTCCTGACTCAGCATTACGACAGCATCTTGCAGACCACAGGGAAATGACCGGTAAAAAACCTCGTACTTTCCGTCATTTTGGAGGAAAGTGGAGGATTCATGAGAAAGACATTTGAGTGTGTGGGAGTACATTCTGCTGGGTTGAGGAGGGGGCAGACCTACAGAGGTACAGTTTAAGCTCGGTGTCATCTGGCGGTGGGGATTGCCTGCAGAAGTATTTAAAATTCAGACAGGAAAGAGAATCTGGGGAAGCTGAGTCCCGTCTCTGCTACGATAACAAAGAGCAGACGCTTATGACTCCTAAACCCGCTGTTAACATGAGAACTCTTACGTAATGGCAACCTATACTGTATGTGAGGACAAAGGGACATTTTGATACCTCGACCTGATTATTAGACTCGGCACTGCCTTAGGTTTTTTATTATAAAGGTGGAAAAACTATTTGTGATCACAAGAAGACCCTTAATTTCACACTGGAAAAGCACAACTTTGAAGCAAACACATGATGACATGTTTACGTGTTCTTTCATTAGAAGTACATTGTCCCAAACAAACTTTAATGAGACAGCCCCTAACAGAGCCAGTCCAAGTTCCACTCGTAAAATAACCCTGCTGTTATCAGCGAATGTCCCCGTCATTCACAAATACTTTCCAGACCAACCTCATCTCAAACCAAAAAAATACAACGCACGCATCTTTACCAGCCTCTAACCTCGTGACATAAAGGGAACACTGGGGGCGTCCTTTAAAAATAACGAGGTGAGCGTAAGCAGGACGACAGCGCTGTGACGCTGCTAAGTCGTGCCGAGGGGCTTTAGCAGTGGAAAGCTCTGTTTGAACTTCAAACAGCAGACGGAAGTTTTACCCATCGCTCCCGCTGAGGAGTGTAAAGCTCATCTGTGCCATAGGTTTACTGCTCGCACTGTGAGGGTTTGAAGTTTCTGGGACAGTTAAAGGCCTATTCTGCCCTCTAGCATCAATAAAGCTCAAGATTGTTAAGGTGAAAGTACATGGCCACAAGTACCACCAGAGGGATTTCATCTCATCCATATTACAATATTACACATGGATGTAACATCATTTCCAATCTATTAATCAAATGTAATCAGATCCAATACCTAAGTTATTTAATTACCCTGACTTGGTAACATTGACACTATAATGTGAGGAAACAGAGAGCTGAAAACCCAGAGGAGCAGACTCCACAGTCGGTTTGGAAACATACAACTTCATGTGCGTGTGTTTATTTCTTTCCATTTGACCAATATAACCTGTCAAAGTGAAAAGGTAAATCTATTTTCAATTTCTGATAACCGGACACTAAACACATTGAATAAATAATCACGATTATGTACAGTATGATGAAAATACGAATGGTTGACCTTCAATACAAAATGACAACTTTTAACAACTCTTGAGAAAATCCTCAGAACCAATAGTGACAGGCCAAGCTAACTTTTCCTTCACTACTGAAAGCTCTGTTTCAGTGTTTTTCAAACTACAAGATTCCAAGTTTTTTGTGCAAGAGCTCAACCTGCTCCAATAACCTTCTCCTTAATGTTGAGAGCCTGTGTGGTGGAGGTGAGCTAATCTTAAAAACGATTTGTTGGACGTAGATCTGGGGAGCAACATTACCACTGTACCTGGAAAGAGTTGCTGGCGAAGCCCAGGCCGAGCTGTCTGCACACCACCATGGCCTCCATGGTCCCCCAGCTGTCGCTGCACACCGTGCCCCAAACCACGGAGCCGTTCCTCTCTGTCAGGACCTCCACACGGCCTTCGAAGGGATTGCGGCCGCCGTTTAACCTCAGCTAAGGACAGAGATAGACCAGTTTACCCTCAGATTCTATACAAATCCTCATTTTTGTATTCTGCTAAAGAGAGGCACTCACTCTGCTGTTGAAGCCCATGGCGGGAACATTACACCTGACAGCTGCGTCCTCCTCATGGTTGCATCCCAGAGCTTCACGGTTGAAGTAGCACTCAGTCAGTGACTTCTCAAAGCCAGAGCATTCCACCTCGTTCATGTGGACCGACCCGCTCCCTACGGGGAAACAAACACACGTTTAGTTGTCATCTAACTCATGAGTTAATGTACAGTCACTAAATATTGGACAAACAGATGGAGTATAAGCATCATGTACTTTACAGAAAACTATTTGTCATTGATTTACATCACAAAGAGAGCAATGATTTCAGGAAAGATGAGCCTATACTGGCTACTTGTGTGTTTTCTTAGAACAGCAAGGCCATCTAGAGACAGATGTCCTGTTGCCTAGAATAACAGAGCAAAGGAAAAAAACAGTCAGCTATGTCCAATGAAAATGAGGCACTAGAGGTCTGTACACATTTAAAAATCTCTCTGTATCTTTTTTCCCAAGTAAAAGTTATATCAGTGCAGCAGAGTTTCCATAATAACATGTGGGAGTACTCTCTGCATGCTGATTTCTCTTCCCATGTGACTGAGCTGGAATGTCTTCAGTGATGCGAGCTCTGCAGCCATTGTGCAGCCACCGGAGAAAAATAAATTCACAACAGGAAGAACACCATGTTGATGTAATCCCTGCACACTTCCAGGACTGACAGATTATAAAAAGAGATATACTAAATTATACATGAATTCTGCTTGTCAAATGCAAAATCACAATTTGTGCTAATTGTGCGACGGAAAATGAGAGGAACAATTAAACATTTTCCTAGAAAAACATTGATTGTATAACATAATTTGAAGCAATTAAGCCTAGAAACTATTCTCCCAGACAAGCACCATTTTAGCTTTATTGATATTATTCTTAAATCCACTTCAGTGACTAATGAAAACAATAAGCTGGTTCTTTTTAATCTAAGGTCTGTGTGTGGTACCATTTTTGGATCCAGTGGTCGACTCATAAAGAAAGCCATACCAGTGAAATAACCTTGTGCACTCTCCAACAAAGAAATTCTTCCTCTGAATCCCCAAAACTTTTTTTTTTCCTGGCGGGAACATCGTGTGCACTCTTTGTGTTTTGCCATGAGAATAAAGCAGAGGAGAGGACAACTAATCCAATGCACCTATGAGTCTCTCATTTCGCACAATCAGGTTCTGGGTCAATTTATAAACATTAATGTGCGACATACATACATTCCGATGTATTTATATGCTGACTTAAGGTCTGGTCTCATTGAAGCGAGACAAAAACAGGTGGTGGCACAGTGGCCAAAGATAAGGTGGAGGTGGATGTCTCGGATTTCAGTCCATACCTTTCATTTTCACAGCTGGAAATGAGTTTGGCTTGATGTTTTGCTTGGACTTTTATTGAGTGCTGTAAATGTGAAATATCATCAAAGCCAAAAACCTTTAAACAGTTATGTTCAAAGCTATTTCAAAAAGATCTCTGAATGGTTGGAGGGATGGTTTTAAGCCTAGCTCTATGGTAGTGTGGATATTTAAGGCAATGCTTTAAAAATTATGTCAGCGTTATTAATTTAGTTTCAAAGTTAGCAAAGGTTTAAGAAAGAAAAGGCTCTGTGCATTTTGTATATTTTCTTGGCTGTACCTGCCATTTTTATAGCATGCTTTTGGATGCGTGGTGAGACGCAGTCAAAGCGATTTATGGGGCGAAGCCTGCGAGCTAGTTCAGGAAGTCAACTCGAGCACTTATGCTGTATTCATACATAATATGAATGCCACTCTACAACCAACCAAACAGAGCCTCCTTAATATGCCGCTCTATTTAACCTGCCAGATCTCTCTCCACGCATTGCTTGCTGCTGCTATTACTGCAGCTACTTCCACGTCGCTGCTTGCCTGCCCCACCACCACCCCAGCTTCCACCCCAGCTTCCACCTGTAGGCTCCGGGGGTTAGTTATTTAATCATCACTCATCGTGTTATGTATATCTGTGGAGTGATGAGGCCCGAGCCTAGACGCCAAACTCAACTATATGCTACTTCTAATAAACATGTTAAAGAAACACGTGAGTTGTCTGACTGAAATATAGATTTTGAATTGACAAACAGAAAGAGAGTAAAACCAAAAGGAAAAATAAAATCCTGGTTTTGGGGCGAGACTTAAATTGTCTGGTGGTGTCTTTACTGTGTGTAGTGTAACTTATAATTAAGAGGGATTATAATTATTGTATGATGCTATACATCACTTTTTAGGAAATGTTTACATATTTTGCCTTTAGTTTGCTCTTTTATAATAATCTATATATAGTTAATACATAAAACAATTATTACTAAATTCCTTTTTTACAATTGCATTTCCATTATACTTCTGTAACACTTCTCCTTGTTACTTTTTTAAAAATAATATTTTATTTTGGCACACTTAACCCTCCATAAACTGTAAATGAACCACCATGAACAGTCGTACCTTGCCCCAGGCGGGCTCCAGTCAGAGCCTCTTTGGCGCTGCCGAAGCCCAGCTCTCTGCACACAACGGTGGCAGCTCGGATGTTCCAGTTGTCGTCGCACACCGTGCCCCACACCCCGTTCTTCAACACCTCCACTCGCCCCTCGCCAATCAAAGCTCCGCCTCTTAGCCGCACCAATGGTTGCTATGGAAACAGTACAACAAAAATGTATATCAGTGAAAAAGTTACAGAGAAAAGTCTTTAAATTGCAAAGTGCTTTTTTGAAAATCTACAGGAATTGATCAAGTTTGCTTACCTGAATGTATTTACTTTAGTTAGTCAACTCTTTGTGCAGCAAAACGTGACTAGCTAAAGAGCTATCTTCGGCAACTTCTTTAAAATATTCACAATATTTTCACTCACTGTTAATATGCACACCTTGTTCACAATTGCATTAGAGATCTAAATAAAGCAAGTTTAAACTCATACAGATGTTTTTCTTGTGATACTTGTGGTTTTATTTTGATTACCATCGTCTTTTTGTTTCGCTTAATAAACAGATAGAATGGTGTTGCCGTGGTGATACCTGTAAACAATAAACACCAGGCGGGAAGGCTGTTTGACTAATACGATTGTATAAAGGCAATGTGACAGATGTTTAGCCTTCATCCCTTCAAACGTTTCCAGATGCTTTACCACAGGGCCACTTGATTAACAGGAAAAGCAGGAAGTGTTGTAATCCACTGCTGGATCAAGGGATGTGTACCAAACCAAGAATTAACACTATAAAAAAACACATGCAATTTATTAAATAAGGATTAATTAATTGACTAATGATTTCAGAAGTAAAAATAATTCATCCAAAAGCTGTCATAAACATCTGCAGCTTGTGAAACTAATTTTAGCCATATGGCGACTGATTTGTCAGGGAGTGTTGATGTTTCATATAGTTTTATTGTTTATTGTACGTTCTCCCGCAAGGAAAGTCTCATGGGATTACTCTTTGTAGAATAAAATAATTCTTTAGAAGAAACATTACATCTGATTCTACTCAGTCAAACAAAATCATCTGAATCCAATGCAATGGTCGACCTTAACCGCCCTGCTTTGCATGCCATACTGCCTTCATTCACACAGGAATGTATTGAGTATTTAAAAACACAGTCCATAGCATGTAGCACAGTCAAAGCCCAGTTTTCCTTTCTGCCTTATTAGTTTTCTTTGACAAAAGCTTCCAAGATAGATGTCTATACCTTTACTGCACCTATTTAAAACAGCTTACAACTTTAATGAAGCGTTGCACCTGGCTACAGAAACAGTTGAACATCATAGTAATACACATTCGTCACATAAAGAACAAGAGCTGAGTTTTAAACCCAGGGCATTCTCCTTAAGAAGCGACAGATCTAACCACTGTTCCACTGTGCATCCAAGCATGCAGCATTTGACCTACCTCCACCCTGTAGGCCTTCCTGTAGCCGGCGCTGACACTGGGAGCGAAGGCGCGTCCCGGCACACAGCTGACCACCACAGGCATGCCCTTCTCACAGGTGCTGTTCCCCTTCAGCACTATGTCTCTGCCCATATTACATTCGGACAGGTCGGCTTCGTTGCCGGTGCAGTTGACAGAGGAACCCCAGTAGTTCTTCTTGCGACGCTTGGCCAGCAATCTGAGAAAGGAATGATGCAATAAAACAAACTATTACACATTATACTGAATATTTTTTTTGTTTAGTTGGAATGGAAAGTTTCCCTTAGCCAAAATGGTTGGCACTGTGAAGTATTTTCAAACAGCTCAGCAACATATTAAGTAGCTGCTTTATGGGAATTTTTGTTATTTATTGGGAGCAGTTCAATACTGACCATACCATGCTGTGAGGCACAATGGCGGTCTTGTTGTTAGAGTAGCTTAACCCTCTCATGACTCCCATACTTGAATGTAAGTAATCAAATAAAGGTCATTCAGGAGCACAACAAAAGTGGACACTGAAGAAGGTCTGCACTTTGGAAGAAGCAGACCATGTCATGAAACCAGCATGCGCTATATTTACTGCCTTTCTCTTTTTTTAAAGCTCAGCCTGATGCCTTAAACAAAATGTACCTCCAGTTAATGGTTCGTGAAATGTTTAAGAGATGCTATATTTGATTGAGGAGTTTCAATTTTTGTTGGGTTGTTTTTGCACGTTTAGTGAATAGGGCTCTCCTTTGTTGTTACAGATTGAATGTGATCTTTCACCTCTTTAAAAAGGTGAACCATGTGAGACCATGGGTTTTAAAAATACACACACAGGCTCAGTGATCTTAAATGAAAAACAAAGTCTTCTTTGCTCGTTTGATGCCCTTTAGTTTGTGATTCATTCAGTAAAATGCACCCACATGTAAGATAAGCATCAAGTCAGATGAGCTCATGTCAACCAAAACCATAAAATAGAACAATCTTTCATCAAAGTCATCTTCTTTGCTCCATTTCACCGTATTATAGGCATCTCTATGCAAAGTCAGACACACAGTGATAATATCAAGGATCAAATTTGACCACGTTATACGTCATAACGCTATTAACTCACAGTATTTGTAAATAAATGTGTGTCTGATATCTCTCTAAACTAAACAGTGGTTTTGGGAGCCTTCAGATGACAGTAGAGAAAACACTGACTGGATGTGAATAATGAATAGATTAGATTCATGAAAACATAACCCCATGCACATAAACTTTACTGAAGACTAAACTAACCCAGATATATTCTTTAAAAGCGCAGGTGGCCTCATTTATTTCTACGCAAAGGTTTGATTGTTATATTTGTATCTCTAAGCTGTTTAAAAGTGTGCTCTTTTATGTTGTTAACAGATCAGGAGATTTGCTCATGTGGTTATTCTCCCACATGTCTTAGGTATTTTTTTTTTTAACCTTGGTTCCGATCAGATAACATTTTAAGACACAAAGTGTTCTAGAAAATCTCTGGCTTTTTGTTACGCTGTGAATTTTGGACCCTAAAGAGCCACTGTTTCAAAGCAAGACCCATCCCTCATCCTCTAAAACTTCCTCGGGCAGTGTTTGGCTTCCCGTCAAGAATCTCCAGGCTAAAGTCTGTTTAATCTCAGCTTGGAAAACAGATGAAGGGTTGAGCGATGACCAGTGTGAACTATTGCTGTTGCTTGGTTTGCTATGATAAAACATTCCTTAATGACTAAGACTGAATATCATCAGTTCCTTGCAGGAAACACATTTTTGTGTACATAAAAAGTGTTTGTCACCCAGGAATGTGTTTTATAGCATGTTTTTGACACAGATGTGAATTTAAATTGTGTCATTATATGAAGCACTACAATATTTCCATTACTCAAACTGTAATTATCTCAACTAAACTTTAAATGTATATGTTGAGGTTCAAATGAAGTAAAACCTTTCATTATATCTAATTGGCCTTGTTAGAATCCTGCTTACGGCCCCAGGCAACTATTACTCACTTGTAGGGTCGGGCATTGACGCGTTTCTCCCCGGGGAAGCCGTACATGCCACAGATGACCTTGCTGTTTTGCTCTGTCCAGTCCTCGTTACAGATCTGTCTCCACTTGCCTCCTTCTTTCACCTCCAAGTAGCCCTCAGTGATGGGAACCCTCTTCCTTTGAGAGTAAGTGGCCCTGAGCCTCACATCCTCCACCTGCACCGGGAAAGTCTGAGAAATAGAGTCAAATGTTACATCACTGCATGCCATATGAGAAATAATGAACCAAAGGTTTTATCTCTTAAAGTTAGCAAAGTCCAACTCGAGACATCTGTGATGAGAATAGGGTTTTATTAAAGTGGACCTATCATGCTATATTTGAATAATATAGTGTAGGACCATACCTATATAAGGCATATTTATACTTTTTATTTTTCAAAATACCAAACAGATCATGCATTTTAGCCATTCCTCATTTCGCTCAATTTAACACTGTCTTTTCATGGGCTGATTCTGTGAGAACAGCACCATCTACAGGCCTGGCATATGTACTACAGCGTCTCCAGCGCTTTCGAACGGCAATGTCCGTGCCAAGGCACAC